TGCACACTAATTCTCCTTTTTTGACTCAGTATATAATGTTTTCCGCCCAAGATTGGTTCCAGGCGCTAGAGGGATGTATCGTATAGGATTGATGACACAAATTAAAGTTCTAGCACGTAAGAGCGACCGTGAAAACACGAGAAAACCGGGAGCACGAGGCACGCTGACACTCTCTATCCAAAAGTCGAACAAACGAAAGAGTGTTACCTGTAGCTGCTGAAAGTTCTGGCCAGGATGTAAGGTGGCATACCTGAAATCTTTCCTGTAAGAATTTGTGGTTTTTTGATATGCTTTAAGGATTGCCTTTTTCAGTAGGTTATAATTACATATAATATCCTGTGACAAAGTTGCATAGATATTCAAGGCTGTACCAGAAAATAACATTCCTAACCTGGTAGCCCAGGTGTCAGTAGGCCATTCACAGAGGGTAGCGGTATTCTCAAACCTGATAATGTAAGAAGTTATGTCTTCCCCCTCTGTGAAGGGAGGTAAATTAGGTGTTGGAATATGTGTACTAGCTGCACGTTGTTCCATTACTCCTTCATCTAATTGCTGTTGTGAGAAAGTTAACTTCTTATTCTCTAATTCAAGGCGAGTTTGTTCGACCTCATGATCCTTTTCTCTCTCTCTTAACTCATGTTCTCTGTCCTTTGCTCTTTCCTCAAGTTCCCTTAATTTAACCTGTTCCTCACGTATCTTAGCTTGTTCCTCACGTACTCTAGCTCTCTCTTCACGATCAAGTCTATCACGCTCCTTTTTGTCTTCTCTTTCGATTCTCTCTCTCTCCTTTTTCTCTTCTCTTTCGATTCTCTCTCTCTCCTTTTTCTCTTCTCTTTCCCTTTCTAACTGTCTTTCTTGGATCTTAGCACTAATGAAAGTTTCTAAATTTTTCCCTGTTATTCCTAACTTACTTCCAGCATTCATCCAAAACTGGTATTCATCCATACTTGCAAGAATAACTTAAACTATCAGGGGAAATGAAATGGGTATTAAAGAAAACGGAGGGTTCAATTCCTGCTCCGCTCAAACTATAAATAAACCAGAGGGCTCGATCCCTGCTTCAATTAAACAATATGTATTAATGAAAATGAAGGGTTCTATGTCGGCTCCGAGCAAACAGTAAGTAGAATGGGGTCCCTTGACCATCCAATCTTCTCACCAACAAATCAAGAGTGTCCTATGACAGTTCCCTTGATATAATGAAGAGCTCAATGAAACAAGTTGTCACTGGAAAATCTCGGGTCCCTAGAGTCTAATCCTCCAAAGTGTTTCAAGCTCACAAGAAAAAGTGGCAGAATTAACTATTATATCCTGCCTGACTTGATTTACAATAAATTGAGACTATAACAATCACCAAATCTTTTAAATACCTGTACCGTAGTCCTACCATAGAGAATGATTACTCATGGCTGGTAGTAACCGTCTGTGGTATGCGGCGTTGAAGTTCCAATGGTAGATTCGAGATGGAGTTGAATCTTGATTCAGTAGAGTTGATCCTGGCAGGGTCGCCACTTGTGAAGGCTTACTCAGCCCTGTAACAACTTCAGACAGTATTACTCAGGCTGGCTCCTCCTCAGGAAAATTAATGAATAGAAAAAGAAATAATAATTCACAAAGATAAACACTTTATTATTTATTAAATCAAACATAAAACAATAAAACATGAAAGGTATATCCTATTTGAAAGAAAAATGAAAAATTAAATGAATAAAATAACATTTGAACTCAACGCTAATATCTACTGGGGTGTCTGGTGTTGGTGACACTGTTGTTGAAATCGTAGCCGTTGCTGATGATAGGGGGGGGTCGCAGGTGTTGGTGACCATCCACTGGCTAGTTCTTCACAGTAATCCAGTGGAGTAATCTCTCCCGATAAACAGGAAAGCAGGTTCTTTACCGCTGCAATGATGTGGGTTACTTTCCTGCAATTTCATACAGGTGCACAGGTAGTTCAATACAAAATGGACGTCTCAGGACGTTAGTCCGTATCCTGTTCTTCTCGTTGATTGACAGTGACCCTCACTGCCCATCCAAGCTGAAAAGATAGACAGGTTACCCACTGCTTAAATAATCACTCTCCATGGTAGTGTACATTACTCAAAAGACGTGGTGATTATTACAACATCAACCTAGGGCAATACAAAAAGAACTAAGTTTTTATTGGTCAAAAGTGAAGCTTCAACCAATAAATCCACTAGAATACAAGGCAGGCATGTACTTACAGTAGTGTTGGGAGCTGTGAGTCGAGTGATTTACTTTTTGACCAGAGCCCCACACGTCACCTTTCGAGGGGGGGGTGGAAGAGGGAGGGAAGGGATAGTGGGAGCTAGACTGACCCTACGTTAACAAGCAGCCGGCAATCAAACTATCACTTTAGGGGTGGGGGAGAAAAGGCGGGAGCGTGACTCACCCTACCTTAACTAGTAGCCGGCAATGAAAACATCACTTTCGGGGAGGGGGAAGAAAGGCGGGAGCTTGACTTACCCTACCTTAACTAGTAGCCGGTAATGAAACTATCGTTACTATATCTCTACTCCTATCTATTTAACTTTTCCCTCACAGTTACCCCTCTTGCCCTGGGCCACAGTGATTTCACAAGGGCTGTTCCAAAGGGAGTCCGTCATCAGTGGCAAGAGGGCCTTGCACACTCCCTCTCTTCTTCGGCGTTGGGCTCTGTCCGAACTTTTAATGGCCCCTGCCCTTGGGCTCGCCATCCCAACCGCTCGGTGGACGTTCAAATTCAAAGTTTATTCTCTGTAAGGATTACAATGCTGAGTTTACAGAAATTTGGTTATTGTGTGGTTTACATGTAGTAAAATTGTGATTACAGAGTGTACCACTAGAACGCTTAGCATGGCTAGGCATTTCGGGCAGACTTAGTTTTATTCTTAATTGTAAAATATTACAAATTATGAGGTAAGTTGGTATTATGGCTAAGTGACTAAATACTAGTTTGTGAGTTTAGCAATGTGAATGCTTTTGTTTTGGCACAGTACATAAATTTCAGTATCGGAGTATCACAGGATTCATTATTTTAAGATTGAGATTAATATTTCTGTTTTTTGGTCAAATGAGTGAGTGAGTGTAAGTGTGAACCACCAGGTGGGATTCGTGTAGTTAGTTGATGGGTGTATCAGGGATAAGATGTTTTCTAATGGTATTTTGAAGGTGATGAATGTGTCTGCAGTTCTAGAGTTCCAGTAGGGTATTCCAGATTTTAGGGCCTTGACATACATTGAATTTTTGTAAAGGTTTAGTCGGACACGGGGGAAAGTCGTAGAGATGTTTGTGTCTGGTGTTTAGCCCGTGGTTCTGTCACAACTATCAAGAAAGCGTTTTAGGTCAAGGTTTGATATTAGAGTTTTTAAGCCCGTAGATGTAGATTGCACAGTATAAGTGTGGATGTACTGAACTGGGGGTAAGTTTAGGTCTATGAAGAGTGGGGGGTGTGTTGCCCGGGGTGGGATTTAGTGATTATTCTTACTGCAGCTTTTTGTTGGGTTATTATTGGCTTTAGGTGTGTTGCTGCAGTTGATCCCCCAAACACAAATAGCATAGGTGAGGTATGAATAAATAAATGAGTGGTATAGTGTGAGGAAGGGCATTTTGCGGCACGTAGTATCGTATCTTGGAGAGGATCCCAACCGTTTTGGATACTTTTTTTTGGTTATATGCGGATATGGGTGCTGAAATTCAGGTTGTTGTCAAGGTATAAGCCTAGGAATTTGCCCCCATTATTTCTGGGAATTAGAGTGTTGTCAATCTTAATGTTAATTGTGCATCTCCTGCTCTGCTACCAAAAATAAAAAGTAGGTTTTGTCAGTGTTAAGCGTAAGTTATTGGCTGTCATCCAAGTCGATATTTTAATCAGCTCCTCATTCACAATGGTGTTGAGGTGGCAAGATTAGGGTGAGAGATGACATAAGTCGTGTCATCAGCAAAGAGAATGGGTTTCAGGTGTTGGGATACGTTTGGAAGGTCATTGATGTATATGAGGAAGAGCAGGGGACCAAGGACACTTCCCTGCGGAACTCTCAGTATCAAGTGGCCGTGTTGCTGATGCTGTGTCTTTAAATGGTGACGTACTGATACCTATTAGTAATGTAAGATTTTGAAATAAGCAAGCGTCATGGCCTCTTATACCGTAATGATCAAGTTTGTGAAGTAGGATGTCGTGGTCTACTGTGCCAAAAGCTTTTCTTAGGTCAATAAAATTCCTAGTGGATATTCCTTATTTTCCAATGCTGTGTAAAGCAGATCTAGCATTTTTATGATTGCATCATTAGTGCTTTTTATTTTTCCTGAATCCAATTGGCAGGGGTTGATATGTTTTGAGCCGTTATAAATGAATACAGTCTCCTGTGCACGAGTTTCTCAAAGATTTTGGATAGCAATGGTAAGTTAGATATTGGCCTATAGTTGTTTAAGTCTGTAGGGTCACCACCTTTATGTATTGGTGTAACCCTTGCCATCTTGAGTAGTTTCGGGAAGGTGCTAGTCTCTAGTGACTTGTTAAAAAGTAATGAAATAGCATGCGAAAGGACATGGGCCGCTCGCTTGTACAGTAATGGTGGGACATGAGACAGATTCCCTGAGTTGCACTAACTCGCCTTCGAGTCGGGCACTCGCGACTGGCGGGTCATCTATATCGCCTTCGGATGACGAACTCTCCGTGCTGCCCGTGGTGTCCCTCAGCCTGAGACAGTGGAACAGTTCCTGACGTGGTGCCCACGTTATCACTCTGCACGGACTACTCTCCGTGCGGCCTTGCGCACACTTGGGGTGCACACTTTCACTCTACCTGTCCTCCTCAACGGGGAGGGTTTCGCCCTCTGGACCGTCAGGAGATATTGGCTTGTACCTACTCCTTCCTGCTGGCTTCAGGGCGTATCAGAGACATACATAGTTATTAGTCAAGACATTCTTTCACTTTGGTCGATATTCCCTCTCCTAGCACTGGACGGCCGGGCTCGATACGGCGTATGCTGTCAGTGGCCCTGAAACCCAACAGAAGAAGAAATGATGGTGTTGTGGTTGAGGTGTGTTTCACGGCGCTTCTCACATCTCTCTCTACACCACCATGAAGTCCTCATCATCCTCCTCTTCCTCTGACTCTCATATTCCCACCAAAATACCAAAAATAAGCGAAAGATTAGTATGGGTTGATCTTGAGGTATGTACGATTATGTAGTGATGCAGGTTAAGTGTGGAACAATGTAATTTTTAATATTGTCTCCAGCGTGGCTGGTTGATTGTGCAACTGCAGCTCAACCTGTGAGCGGTAGTGAATGAAAACAATATTATAAAGGTCACAATGGGCCTTTTTCAGACCCCATTGAGTGCGCTACACATTGAGGTCCGTGGTTCGATCTCCGGTACGGGTGAAAACATTAGGACGTGTTTTCCTTAAGACACCTGCTGTCCCTCAATGTCCCCTCAGGGAAGGTTCCTTGATGTTGGTGAGGGCTCTTGATTTAGGGAATTGGATCGTGCTCCAGTTCCCCGAATTCAGCCTGAATGCCTTCCACATCCCCCCCCAGGCGCTGTATAATCCTCCGGGTTTAGCGCTTCCCCCTTGATTATAATAATAATAATGTCCCTCAATGGAAGTAAGTTACTCTGTTTTTTGGGGGGGGCTATCCTAGGTACTTTACACATATACTATTTATGATAATCTGTGTAGCTGTATTTGTGTATACCTCAATAAACTTACTAGCAGTATAATGGGTACCTGGGTACTCACCTAATTGTGGGTGTTAGTGGACTGGTGTGGGTCGCATCCTGGGACAAAACTGACTTAATTTGCCCGAAATGTTCAGGATAACAAGGGATTTTCTATATAGTAGTATGTCATTGATGTCAGCTATGTCTGTATACTACCCTGTACATGTACTTGTAGAAATAAAGATATTATTATTACTAGAAAAAAATATTAGTCATTTCATATTTTGCAATTACTTCATATAGTTGTGCATAGGGCAATAATAATGTAATATAGTAATATCTTTATTTACTGCAAGTACATGTACAAGGTAGTATACAGACATAGTTGACATCAATGACATACTACTATATAGAAAGCCGCTTGTTATGCTGAGCATTTTGGGCAAATTAAGTCAGTTTTGTCCCAGGATGCGACCCACACCAGTCGACTAACACCCAGGTACCCATTTTACTGTGAAAGTAAAGACACATGTGCAACATCTGGAAATCTTTAATGTAAACGTTTTGCCATCCAGTGGCTTTATCAATACAAATTCTAGGACATAATTGGAAGACTGTAGAAATATATACAAAAGATGAGGTAATCAGTCCCTCAGCCTTGGAGTTAGTGTCCACGATGCTGTGAACACTAACTCCAAGGCTGAGGGACTGATTACCTCATCTTTTGTATATATTTCTACAGTCTTCCAATTATGTCCTAGAATTTGTATTGATAAAGCCACTGGATGGCGAAACGTTGACATTAAAGATTTCCAGATGTTGCACATGTGTCTTTACTTTCATAGTGTCGGTATTTTATACCTTTCTTGCACACCCATTTTACTGATGGGCGAACATAGACAACAGGTGTAAAGAAACATGCCCAATGTTTCTACCCTGGCTGGGAATCGAATCCAGACTCTCGTCATGTGAAGTGAGAACTATAGCCACCAGAGCCCCAAAAAAATTATCAAAACAATGAGCTTTTTTTTTGCCATAACCTGTAAGGTTTGTTTGGCGTAGTTCTATGTGACGGCCACAGAAAAGGTTAAAACAGTCTCTCCTCACTTAGTAACGTACTCATTTACCGGCAATTCGGACTTACGATGGGCTCTCTGACCAGTGTGCTTACCTAAATAATGTATGTATATTAGAGTTGATTTCTTCTATTCTTTTTATTACAGTATACAGTACACTATTATATAATAGTGAAAGTGAATACAGGAAAGAGTAAAGTCATGAGGATAACAAAAAGATTAGGTGATGAAAGATTGGATATCAGATTGGAGGGAGAGAGTATGGAGGAGGTGAATGTATTCAGATATTTGGGAGTGGACATGTCAGCGGATGGGTCTATGAAAGATGAGGTAAATCATAGAATTGATGAGGGGAAAAGGGTGAGTGGTGCACTTAGGAGTCTGTGGAGACAAAGAACATGTCCTTTTGGGGGCAAAGAGGGGAATGTATGAGAGTATATTTTACCAAAGCTCTTATAAAGGGGTGGAAGCATGGGTGATGAATGTTGGGAGCGAGGAGAAGGGTGGGGGCAGTGGAGATGTCATGTCTGAGAGCAATGGGGTTTGGGTGAATATAATGCAGAGAATTTTGTAGTTTGGAATTAGGAGGAAGTGCGGGAATTACCAAAACTGTTGTCCAGAGGGCTGAGGAAGGGTTTTTGAGGTGGTTCGGACATGTGGAGAGAATGGAGCGAAACAGAATAACTTCAAGAGTGTATCATCTGAGTGGAAGGAAGGCGGGGTAGGGGTTTGGCCTAGGGAAAAGGGTTGGGGGTAGGGGGTAAAGGGTTTGTGTGCAAGGGGCTTGGACTTCCAGCAGGCATGCGTGAGCGTGTTGATAGGAGTGAATGGGGACAAATGGTTTTTTAAAAACTTGACGTGCTGTTGATGGACAAAGTAACATTTAGAAGGGGTTTTAAAAGTTTTTTTTTTTCCCACCCTGTTTAAATTCCAGTAAAAAAAAAAAATATTATTAAACATTTAAAAATAAAAAAAATTTTTTTAAAAGGGTCAAAGGTGACTTTAAAACAAATGGGAGATGGTTCTCTTTGGGAAAGGGGGTTATACCAAAAAAACAAAAATCACTCCCTCGAAAGCAAAAGACTTGACGGAATGCAACTTCCCCCAAGAAAAGCAGAGCACCATGTTGCTAAGAGACAAAAAAGTGTCCAGGGCCCAAACGGCCCCCCCAGCATCAAAGGGAGGATTGTAATAAAGTTGGTAAATTTACCACAATTTTTAAAAGAAAAGGACACAAGTGAAAACAAATGTGACATTTTATTGTGGAAACTTTTCCCTCCAGGATTTTATCAACCCATTACAAACAAACAGGACAAAGGGGTAAAAATAGGCCAAGTGAGGTCATACTAGTGAAAGGGTAAAAAGTGATAAAATTGTAGTAGAAAGTAGAATACAATAGGAGAAAAATTTAAAATTTGTACATAGAAAAAGGGATATAAAAGCATTCTGATTTACATTTTCCTTTCCCTTTTTTATAAAAACTGCAAGAAAAGGGCTCTTCAGATACAATTCTCCACCACCAACACCACTCCCAAAAATTTATAATTTTCCCAACAGTCAGGTTGCCTGAACTTTTCAAAGTATTTCACAACCAACACCAAACGCCATCGCTTCTAGCCTTTCAAAAAAGGTTTAAACCCAGAACAAAATCAAAGACCAAGAACCAGTAAAGCAGGGGTTTACACATCCCCCTGGGGAGGCTGTGAAAGATTTACTAGGTAAACAGCAAGAAACCCGACCCCCGCCTCAAATAAACACATTTACCATGTAGGAACACAACCTGAACAACGCCTTGTACAACACCAAATTCCACCATCATCTCATAAATTGGGGACGCCCAAAAATTGATCAAGAAACTAATTTCCGCAGACGCAAGTGCCTAGAATCAGCACTGATCCTGTTTTGAATACAATTAAACAAAACAACGGGAGCTTCCCCATCTCGAAGCTTAGCAAGAATCCCCCTGAAAAAAAAACCCTGCCTCCAATCTCCCTGTTATACACACAAACACATTACAGAGGGTGAACACGAACAGGGGTGCCCTATCCATCTATATTTTTCCAAACCATTTTTATGTTACCCAAGAATAGCTTTTTTATCCTTTTTTCTCATGTACAATTTTAAAGTTCAAAACCTATTGTATTACTACACTACTCACAACTTTTATCACCTATACTAAACCCCTCCCCCTATATCGCCCCCACTCTGACCTATAATACCCCTGTGTCCATGTATTGTTTGTAAAGGGTTTAAAAACTCCGGGGAACAAACGTCCACAATAAAATGTCACATTAGTGCACTTGTGTCCTTTTATTTACAAAGGGGGATTTCCAAAAGACCCCCTGCTCAAAAGGCCTGGGCAGGCACCTAAATCAGTTTCCCCCGACAGCGGGCGTGGTTTGTACTTGGTTTACTCACCCATAACACCTGGTTGATCAACCCTGATCTCCAGCCCCTCAAGGGGGGTTCCTTTATGCGGTGAGGGGGTCTTGACAGGGAAGGATCTGTTTCTAGTTCCCTGAATTAAACCTGAATTCCTTCCTCCACCCCCCCCCCCCCCACAGGGACTGTAAAAAACCTACGGGTTTTAGTGCTGTCCCTCCCGCGCCCTGGTCTTAGACTGGGCCGTGGGGGCATTTACTCCCGAAACTCTCTCCAGGTTTACTGGCGTGGTCTTAGGAATGGAACTCCGTTGTTAAGTGAGGAAAAGGCTGTACTCTATAGAAGTGTCAAAAATCCTCTGTGTTTGCTTGTTTTCTTGAAGTTTTAGCAATTTAGATTTTGTTTACCAAAATTTTGTATTAGAAAACAATACGGTGTATGTTTAATTTGACTTAGCTTTAGCACACTAGTTACTAGATGCATTATCATGGCTGAATCAGTTCACAAGAAGCTGACAAATTAGAAATGACAATTTTATGATTGCCCTAGACCTTATTAAAGTTGGAGATTGAGACACTTATGCAACACATGAGAATCTTTATTGAAGAAACATTTGCCACACAGTGGCTTCATCAGTCCGATACAAAGCAGAAAGGTGTAAGTAGTGGAGGAGTTTGAGGTAATCAATCCCTTAGCCTGGAATCGATGTGTTCAGTCCATCACTCTTGTAGAAAGTACAGCATAAGGCCAGAGAAGTGGCTTATAGTATACTGTAGTCAGATGAGTCGAAGCAGGAGAAGGCGGGATCACAGTGGAACCATCCACTAATGTAAGTAGGTCTTCGTCCAAAGGTTGGACAAGTGTTGAAGGATTCTTTGTATCAAGATCCCATGACTACAGTATATTAGCCACTTCTCTGGCCTTGTGCTGTACTTTCTACAAGAGTGATGGACTGAACACATCAATTCCAGGCTGAGGGACTGATTACCTCAATCTCCTCCACTACTTACACCTTTGTGCTTTGTATTGGACTGATGAAACCACTGTGTGGCAAAACATTTCTTCAATAAAGATTCCCACATGTTGCATAAGTGTCTCAATCTTCAACTTGTCGGTTTTTCAAAACTATTTATCACTTATTACAGTTGCAAGAACAAAAGAAGAGACAGAAAGGTATCCAGTAGCTTTGACATGATCTTTGGTGTTGCTTCATGTCATATTTACAATACTACTATTTTAATGTGATTTTTGGCTCTCTTCCTTTTTCATTCTTTCTTGTGACCTGATAATGAGCAAAGGCAAATCCAACTAAGTCCAATTTTAGTGTCCTGTTTGTGGGTTTATGAATAAATAATGAATTGTTTACAAAGTATTTGAATGGTGTATTATCTTATAGATGACTGGATTAAATGTAGAAGAAGAAAAGATAATGGAAGCAGCCATTATGATCACTGATGGTGACTTGAACGTTGTTGCAGAGGGCCCAAACCTAATATTAAAAGTAGACGACAGAGTATTGGACAACATGAATGAATGGTGCAAGAAGCATCATGGTGAGGTAGAGTACTTCATATGTACACTTAACACTATTCTTATTCTTTCTTGTTTGTTTTTAATCTTGCTCTATCAATACTAGTGAGGTAGGAATATAGTAAGGGTCTCAAAAATGATTTTACATTTGGACCCTCGAATTTCATCATCCCTTTCTGTATGTAAAACTATAGTTATTCAATATAAAATATATTTTTTGTTAATATTTCCCGTAAGAAATAATGTAAATCCAATTAATCTATTCCAGACACCCAGAATTTTATATTAACAAAAAATACATTTTATAGAGAATAACTATAGTTTACATACAGAAAAGGGATGGTAAAAATTTGAGGTCCACTGCATTTAACTGTATTAAATTTAATAAAAGTTATTTCAATTATACATCATATGAAACATTCTATGGTACAGACTGCATCCTTATTTTATTTTCTGCAAAGTGTGCAAATATTTTGAGAAGTGGAAACCCCTTAAAGGGGAAAAGAACCTAACCCTTTCAGGGTTGGTGTCGTACTAGTATGGCTTGCACGCCGGGGTTGGTGCCATAACTCGTACACGGAAAATTTCCCTAGTGCCTTCAAATTTAACGAGAGAAAGCAGGTAAGTCCTACATATGAAAGAATGGGTCTATGTGGTCAGTGTGCACAGTATAAAAAAATTCTGCAGCACACAGTGCATAATGAGAAAAAAAACTCCGTTTTTTTGGTTTAAAACAGCGACTTTGCAGTGTATTTTCGTATGGTATTTATGGTTGTATTCTAGTTTTCCTGATCTCATTTTATAGAATGAAAGACATTACAGAAATTGAGATGGTTTTGATTGGTTTCACAATAAAAAAGTACCTTGAAATTGAGCTCAAAGTAGCAGAAATGTTCGATTTTTGCCAAGTTTCAGAAGTAAACAAATAATGCCACACGTCCAATACACGTCAACTGGTGAGTCTAATATTCTTTCACAAGTGCGCTGATATTATCTATACCATTTCTACACTAATGCAGTAGTCTGCAAAATAGTAAATCTTCTATTTTTTTTTTGAGAATAAAAATTCAAAGTGGAAAGCAAAAGAAATGTAAGAGGGGCCTGGGTACATGACTAATGAACAGAGAAAATGTTATTTTAGTGCCAAGAATGTCTGTCTTGTTTATTCTGGACCCTATTTGGAAATTGGCATGTTTTGAAATTGTGTGAAAATTGCCAACTTTTAACCACTTTATTGGATAGTTGAAATCAGTAAATGGGTGGTTTCTTGTATTCATTCGATAGAAAAAATGGAGTTCTAGTGAAATAGTTATGATTGTTGTCGATTGGTACATTGGAATTGGCTGAAAATATGGCTCAAAGTGGGTGAAATCGCCGATGCATAAACATCGACAAGACCGCTAACTTCGCGAGAACATAATTCCGTAAGTTTTCCTTCAAATTTCAAACTTTTTTTCTCTTTCATTTCATAAGAAAAAATAATTTTTATTTTTTCGAAAAAGTTTCGACCCTGAGAACAAGTTTAGGAGAGGGCTAATGCTGGAGGACTGGATCCAAGGAATTGGAGTTATCCTACCCATCCTTGGATCATACCTGACTACCATTCTCCTGGTGCTATATGACCCTTATGGGTTTATCTCTTCCCCATAAATATAATAATTCGAGAAGTGCTGGAGACTTGTTTTGCATAATATTTTTAGACACGCATTCTTTTATGTGTAATCTGTAGTACAGCACTTCAAATTTTGATGAATTTATACAGTGTTAAGTTTTATTTGTGTGAATATATTTCTCATGCTGTAAAGAGTTTTTTATGAGGATAGTGAGGCTCAGGTTAGGATGTGTAGGAGAAAGGGAGATTACTTTCCAGTAAAAGTAGGTCTTAGACAGGGACGTTATGTGTAATGTCACCATGGTGGTTTAACATATTTATAGATGAGGTTGCAAAAGAAGTAAATGCTAGGGTGTTGAGGAGAGGGGTGGGATTAAATTATGGGGAATCAAATACAAAATGGGAGTTGACACAGGTACCTTTTGCTGATGATATTGTGCTTTTGAGAGATTCTAAAGAGAAGTTGCAAAGGTTAGTGGAAGAGCTTGGGTGGGTGTGGAAAGGAAGGGAGTTGAAAGTGAACATTGCAAAGAGTAAGGTGATAAGGGTATCAGATGACTTAGGTAAAGAAAAATTGAATCTCACATTGGAGGGAGTATGGAAGAAGTGAATGGGTTTCTGATATTTGGATAACTTGTTACAGTAAGGTTTATGAAGGATGAGATAAACCATAATTAAAAAAGGGAAAAAAGGGTGGGGTGTTCATTGAGGAATCGTGGAGACAATGTTATTCATGGAGGCAAAGAAAGGAATGTATGAGAGTATATTGGTACCAATACTCTGGGTTTTAAATACATGGGTTTTAATGCGCAGTAGGAGGAGGCTGGAAGCAGTGGGAATGTCGGTCAAAGGGGCAATGTGTGAGGGTAAATATATACAGAGAATTCATAGTGTGGAAATTAGGAGGTATGGAGTTACTAAAAATATTATTCACAGGGCTGAGGAGGGGTTGTTAAGGTGGTTTGGTCATTTAGAGAGAATAGAGCAAAATAGGATGATTTGGATTGTGTATAAATCTGTAGTGGATGGGAGGAGGGGTAGGGGTCATCCTAGGAACGGATGAAGGGGGGAGGGGCTTAGACATACAGCAGTCACATGTTAGCGTGTTAGATAAGAGTGAATGGAGACGAATGGTTGTTGGGATTTGATGAGCTGTTGGAGTGTGAGCGGGGTAATAGTTTATGAAGGGGTTCAGGAACCCCGATTAGCCGGACTTGAGTCTTGGAGGGGGGAAGTACAGTGCCTGCACTTTAAAGATGATGTTTGGGATATTTGCTGTTTGGAGTGACATCTGAGCTGTCATATCTGCATGCTTCTGCAAAGACAGTGCTTATGTGTGAATGATGGTGAAAGTGTTGAATGGTGGTGAAATGTTTCTTTCTTGGGTCACCTTGTGTCGGTGGGAGATGGCCGAGATGTTAATAAAAAAAGATAATTAAATAGTAAGCATATTGTAAAGGTGAAGGTGACTACAATACATGTACAGTGTTTTTTTGCTTTTTCTTTATGAGTTACAACCTTTTATAAATGTTCTAAAAGTAATTTGCAACTTGACACAGAAACCATTGCATTTAATGTTTGCTTCATGTGAGGTGCTGTTATTTTAATCTTCAGATTAGTAAGAAAAATTACCAGACACAGGACTGGCATGATTTTTTAAAGTTTGATTGTTAATCATTGTTTATTTTCTGTATACCATAATTAAATAGCAACAAAACATTTAATCAGCAACAAAACATTTAATAAATTAAACAGGGTTCTTTATGGCCTAAATTATGAATATAATATTGTTGCTGATTTCCTGGCCAACAGAATGGGTTAACAGATGAATGCCGGAAGAGCACCATAACCCTCTCTGCAGCAGAGGACCAGCTGCTTCAGTTTGTCACACAGCACACCGAGAAGGGTAAGTCTTACCCCATTAAAGGTTGGAGGTTGTGTGATCCTAAAGTGTACACCAATAGGAATCTTAGGCCAGGTCCCAGTCTTCATTTTCAGCTGTGGAGGATCTGTTGATGAAGGAGGATAAGTCTTGAGAGACAGACTGTGTGTCCTTAGAAGAATAGGATTAGACCTTGAAGGAAGGGGAGGAGGCATGGGAATGTCTGGAATCTTAGGAACTCCATTCTCTCTTCTCAACTCCAAGGGTACTTATTCTCTGTGAAAGAGGCTTGGTTCATGAAGGAAGAGTATCTGTCCTTGAAGGAAGGAGTAAAGACCAATCCTGGTCTCCATGACCTAACTTCCCTCTGCCACTAAATATGGCCGACCGAGAAGACTGGTTCAGGGGGTCTCAATGAGGGGCTGGCTGGGCCCCCATACCAGCCGGTGAGATGATAGTCAAACCAGCAATCATCCTAGCAGGCAAGGACTGAGAATGAACTCCTGTAATATGGCTTTCAATTCAAGTGGGAACAGAAGGTGGTGGTGCCATGACTTCTAGGTCTTCTTGATTGCCCAAACTATCAGTGTTTGACATTTTTATAATGAACCTCTTCTCTGGAGAAACCACCTTGTATTTTCCTAACCTAATTTCTTCTTAATTATTCTCTTAAAATATCTTGTAGTTAATTGTCTGTGTTGTCAACAGGCAAGGCTCCTTTGGCTGGCAACACGATACATTCAGATAAAAAGTTCTTGGATAAGTACATGCCTAAACTGATGAATCACCTCCACTACCGCCTTGTTGACGTCTCCACTGTCAAGGAGTTGTGTAGGTGAGCCTCTCTTAAATCTGCCTTGTTTAACCCTTAAACTGTGTTTGATGTGCATTGTACTTTTAATACCAGGATGTGTATGACATATGCTGTACCCCCTTTTTCCTGCCTTCATATTTGTTTGATTACCACGACTTAGGTGGTCATTTGTTTAGGTTTTTCTGGCACCTCAGGCCAGAGAAAAAAAATTCCTGCTAATGCGTCAGCACAGGAGACAGAGTAAAATTGCCCCCGGATTTTGTTCTCACAGTGGCTGGCTGGAAAGTTCTGATTCATGTGACAGTGACACCAACAGCAACCCTGGACACCACCCTACCAACACCACATGTGACACCTACAGCTACCCGCCAACACCACATAGACACCCGTTACCCTGCCAACAACCCCTACATGTGACACCACCAGCTACCCTGCCAACAACCCAAAATGTGACACACCAGCTTCCCTGCCAACACCACCACATGTACACCAGCTACCCTGCCAACAACCCTACATGTGACACCCGCTACCCTGCCAACAAAACCCCACATGTGACAACTACCAGTTTACCCTACCCACACCATGTGTCACCACCAGCAGCCCTGACATACCAGTTGCACTATCAATAAAGTTACATGATAAATTTTTGTGTAACATGCCACTGTGCCTGTCTCCATGTTGCAAAGAAAATCACAACTTGAAACAGCAATAATGTCATAATAGTTCCCCGTGCATAGTGTTGCAAGACAAAATCATTTATTAGAATTAAGACAAAACATTTATTGATAGAAATTTAGAGTGAATTTTGAAATTGTGGCTGTTATGACGTGCTTCTCCCCCCTGTTCTAATATTTAAACAGCTTGAAACAAGTCTATTTTTGTATAAGATGTTGAAATCAATATATCTTAGTGAAAAAAGATAAATAAATATACATAATTACCTTTTTAAAGGCAATGCCCAAAAAAAGCCGCTAGAGAATGAGAAACATGAGCTGTAGGCCTTTTACACTTTTGCCAGTGTAAAAGGCCTAGGGAACTATGCACTGGAAATATAAACACATATGCAGTAATGTGATCCTTTATTGACTACGTTTTGCCCACCACAGTGGGCTTTTTCAAGTTTTGCAAACAGATCTACCTGGGGTGGAAGGGACGTGAGTATTTATAGTCAGGTTCAGAATGCTGAGGTCAGGTTGGAGAATGCTGCATCTGATGATGTAAACCGAGTGGGGTTATGGAGTCTAAAATCTTGGTAGCTTGGAAAGGAGATTGGATAAGTTTGTGAGCAGACCTTCTACAGTGTTCTTCCATTCTGTGTTCTTACGTGGGGTAGCGATGAAGAAGTTTCTTTGGGAAGTGGTTCAGCTATGTTAAGAAGCCACTATTCTGGCTGAAGTTGTTTGGATATAGAAATAAGTTGATGATTCCGGATTCTTCGGTATTGAGTGTTGCTTCGTGGCGTAATCTTGAGTTTCTGTATTTATCAAGTGGTTGTGTGAATTACGGTGTTGTACACAGGCATTCCTTGTGTCGCAGACCTGCTTGCGTATTGGGTTCTGAAATACGTATTTGGAGGTCCCTTGAGTTTCACCCCCACGTATAATTTGTTGCAGTCATTTCAAGGGATTATGTATACCCCTGCAGAGGGTGGAAGCTTGTCCTGTCTATCACTGTAATGTCCTTGATGGTTGTGATTGTGGAGGTAGATACTTGGAATGAGGTATTGGAAAAGATGTTGGAAACGTGTTTGGTAAGGGGTTGGGGGAGGAAATATGTATCCTTCTCGGGAGTGTCTTTTCTGGTGTGTTGAAGATGTTAATGCCTAGAAGAGATTTCATAGTCCCCCCACCAACTCCATTGCCAAACACGTTTCCAAATCTTTTCCAATACCTCATTCCAAGTATCTACCCCACCCAAACCCCGACCATCAAGGACATTACCAGTGATAGACAGGGCAAGCTTCCACCCTCTGCAGGGTATACATAATCCCTTGTAATGACTGCAACAAATTATACGTGGGCGAAACATCAAGGACCTCCAAACACGTATTCAGAACACCAATTTCCAAGCAGGTCTGACGACACAAGGAATGCCTGTGTACAACACCGTAATTCACACAACCACTTGATAAACTACAGAAACTCAAGACTTATCGCCACAGAAGCAACACTCAATACCGAAGAATCCTGGAATCATCACTTATTTCTATATCCGACAACTTCAACCAGAATAGTGGCTTCTATAACATAGCTGAACCACTTGCCAAAAACTTCTTCATTGCTATCCCACATAAGAACACAGGAATGGAAGAAACCTGTAGAAGGTCTGCTCACAAACTTATCCAATCTCCTTTCCAAGCTACCCAAAATTTTAGACCTCTATAACCCCACTCGGTACATCATCAGATGCAGCAATTCTCCACCGGACCTCAGCATTCTGAACCTGACTATAAATACTCGCGTCCCTTCCACCCCAGGTAATCTTTTGTGGCTTGAAAAAGCCCACTGTGGGCGAAACGTAGTCAATAAAGGATCACATTATACTGCATGTGTGTTTATAAAATTTTCCCTTGTGTCGGTATTTTATACCATTTATTTCAACTATGCACTGTTGTCATGGCTCTTCAAGGACTGTGCACTGTTGCAGTGGCTTTTCAAGAACTAACACTATTGCAGTTTCTCTTCATGAACTATGCACTGTTGCAGTGGCCCTTCAAGAACTTGTACGTCATAAAAAGATTGCAGTGGGGAAAATGTCGTAAGTTTTGATCCGGGTTTCGTTTTTTGGG